TCCATGGAAAGAGTCACTCACTTCATTCATACGAATGAAAATGTCAGCCAAATAAGCAAGCATTTGCATGAAATTTTGTGATTCCAATTCACCAACCAGATCATAGTCACGTTCCCCCATAAAAACTTTGATTTCTCCCTGGGTTTCGAAGAAACGGGTTAAGGCGCGCCCTCGTAAAAGTCAGCGGACCCCCGTGCGGAAAAGCAAAACTGTATGTTCATTTTCCAGATGTTCACAAAACAACTTAAACATGCGGTGGTTCAGAGCACAACCCCTGAATCCAGTTGATGATCTTTACACAAGTGTCGAGTACTTTTTTTCATACTAGGAGGCAATGTTTTTGCTGCCAAAACATGACGATAAAGGAAACAGCGGGTGACTTGCAAGTGCGGACTCATCCTCTTCATCAGTGCAGAAAATTCAGATTTATTCCCTAACTTCGCAGGAGCACCATCAGTGCCCAACAGAACCAATAGTTTGGATATCTAAATCATGTTTGGCGAAGAAGTCATACATAAGCTGATACACATCTTTTCCCTGTTTGGTTGTTTTCAGCTCTTCACAAAACAGGAAATCTTCTTTCAGAATACTATCACTGACATACCTAATCAATAAAATGAATTGACTTCAGTTTGATACATCAGTTGATTCATCCAACTGGAGAAAGATTTTCAAAGAACTAGACGTGACATCTGAGATAACTTGATTCAAAATATCATCACTGAAATCACCAATTCGATTGTGGATGACATTATTTGATGGCGGCAATAATTCAAGCTTTTTTCTTGCTTCTTGGCCGAGAACAGTTGTTGCCATTTTTAATGCATACGGTTTGATCAACTCTTCTGCAACTATATCGGGTTTCTTGGACTTGGCTATTTTATATGCCACTTGGTACGAAGCCAGCAGAAGTGGATTGTCAACAAAAACGCAACCTAATCTTGGAAGGGTTCCTCGAGATTGAAAATGCTCTCTTTTAGTTTTCATTGATTCAAAATCATGGCCTTCAACACCACCTCTACCGTGTTTGCTGTTGAAGTGCTCTTGCAGTTTGATGGCTTCATATTTGCATTGGAAAACACAGCATTACAAAGTATGCACTGGGATTTTTGCAATTCATCATTTCCCGTGCAAGCGAAAGCAATGCGCACGTAGTCATCATTCTATTTCCTTTTTCTTTTTTTTTTCTTTTTTTTTGATATGATGAAGGGTTAATAATCTGTCAGAAAGAGAAAAGATGAATAACTCACCAATCTCATAATCAACTTCAATATAATCAGCAATGTAATAACCAATATAATAGAATCCGGCACCCATCAAATTTGGATTCTAAACATAATTCTGAATTTAATGAACTAAAAAATAAGAGGCTCAAAGGCAACCCGACTATAAACAGTAGATGGCAAGAAACAGCGCCGCCTATTTTCGGTTGTTAATTTGAATGTTATCCATATTATCTTATTACTGTTACACTAACAAATTGAACAAAAGAGTCGTTTTCTCTTCTGCTACTGAAAAAATAATAAACAAATAAATTTGAACATTTAACCGTTAAAATTTAAATTTATTTATTTATTATTTTTGCTAAATTGCTAAACCCAGGGTTTCGCAGCCCTAAAATGTGATCTTGCCCCCCCGTTGCCTCCACTCCAAAACCTAGCCTTTTTTTTTTAATCCTGATTTCACCCAGGGGTCAATTATCGATCGCCTGCGATTGTGGGAAGTACGCATCTGCTTTAGCCATCATAATAAGCCGAAGTTATTTACTAAGCTAAACTCCTCTTGTACAGCTCATAGAAATGGAACACCCAGTGAGGAAGGATTTGATTTGTAATAAAAGAGATTTTCTCGTTTTATAAAAATTGTTTATTTATCTGCTTTGGATGTGTCACATTGATATCGTACTTTTGTTTCTCATTTTGTTTTTGTTTTTAAATTTTGTTTTCCTTATCAGGAAGGACATTTGCCGTTAAAAGTACTTGGGTTGGTAACAGGAAGAAGCGCCGACGGCTGATAAAAGAAGATTGCTTCATCTCAACAACATACGGATAAAACAATAAACGCTTAGCTTTAAAAAGTTCCCAGTACCATCCTTTATGTGTTGTTTATGGTTTTCATCACGAGATAGTCACGATGAATGAAAAAAAAACAAAAAAAAAACAGATAGATATGCATTAATAAATAATAAAAACGTATTTGCCGATATTACACATATGGTAGACAGCACTCTCGGTAATAGCTGCATTAATTCCTGAAATTAACAACCAATTTCTTCCTAATTTTCAATACATTTCTAGTGTAAAACCATGAAGTATGGTTTAGTTTGGTTTGGTTTACGGCATATCAACCTCAATGGGTTATTTAATACCGAGTTTTTTATTGCTGGTAATATTTTCCTTCAAAAAGGTATTGCTGATAATGTTTTTCTTAAAAAATGTATTGCTGGTAATATCTTTTTTCTTCATAAATGTATTGCTGGTAATATTTTTTCCTCAAAAATGTATTAATTGTAATATTTATTTTCTTTAAAAACTGTATTGCTGGTAATAATTTTTTCTCAAAACATTTATTGCTGGTATTAAAACCTATTTTTATACTTTCATAGTGTTTTGCCCCAGTTTGGAGGTTAACTATTTGCCCATAGCTGGGATCCTAACAGGTGCTACCACCCCGGGTCAGAGTGGACCTGGTAACAACAACAATTAAAAGGCGTTTCCACGCTCCTCAAAACCTCCTGATCAGTGGCCTTGCAGCTGGATAGAGTTTATCGCCTTACCCAGGACGCGGACGTAGTTTATCGTCTTACCCAGTACGCGGACGTAGTTTATCGTCTTACCCAGGACGACATTAGCTATGAATTTGCATTACATACATAATAGCCCTATTCTTTCAGTAATATTAATTCCTAGCGTCTTCTTAATGGCACTTTGGCGTGGTGGAATGGTTTGCCAGCTTGTCTCGCTAGATCACGACTGAGTTATGAGTTCGATCCTCAATGGGTGCACTACACATTCAGCCTTGTGCCATTTTTACGCTACGCTTAAAAATCATAATACTTCTCTGGCACTTTTACCTGAAAAGATTCAAATATTAATTTCAAGCCCCCGGGGGGATGGGGGGGGGTTTCAGTAGGTCTTCTTCGGGTGGGTGCTGAGCTTATTATCTGGCGCCTGAAATAGGAAGCTGTGGAGGCATAAACAATGTTCCCACGGTATTTAAACTGACCTTGTGTCACATTCCGTAACAAGTGGGCGCTCTGAAAAATGCCCTTGACATCTTCTTAATTTTCGATACATTCCTATCCAAAGAATTTACATTACGCATATAACAGCCCTATAATTTCAGTAACGTAAACCACAATCTTAACAACATAAGATACGCAGATGAGACAGCACTGATAGCAAACACGGAAAAGAAATTACAAAATCTCCTACAGAAGGTAGACACGGAGAGTGAGAAGAAAGGACTAAGCATAAACTACAAGAAGACTGGTCATCAGTAAGAGGATGAGCCCAAAATGCGATTTGCAGGTCGGGAACACTAGAATCAAGCAGATGCAGAAGTTTAAATACCTGGGAAGCGTTTTGACAGAGGACAGTAAGTGCGACAATGAGACCGTAGACGTATTGGGATGACACATTCCAAAAGCTGTGTAGAATATTGCGACACAGGAGGATTTCTTCGGTAGCAAAGAAAAGAATACTGAGCTGTTACGTGACATCTTCTTTACGGCAGCGAATGTTGGACGATTTCCTCAAAGATGAAGAAGAGACTCGAGGCAACGGAGATGTGGTTCTATAGAAGGATGCTAAGGATACCATGGACCGAACGTGTGAGCAACGAGGAGGTCTTAGAGAGGTAGCAAACAAGAAGGAGGCTTATATTTAACATCAGGAAGAGACAACTGAAGTTTCTGGGACACATAATGAGGAAGGAGGGCCTGGAGAATCTGATACTCACAGGTCGAATAGAGTGGAAGTAGAGACAAGTAAAAACAACACGTGACATACCTGGCGGTCTTAAGCAAGTCGATGAGAGGACGTAATCTGGGGGAGGAAGCAGAGGGAGGGAACTAAACTGAGAGCTACAAGGGATAGAGGCAGGTGGAGAGCCATGATCGCCTACGTCCTGAAAGAAAAAAGAAGCTATTAATTCCATACGACTAACAGTCAATATTCTATAGTAAAAGCATTACCTATGAATTTCCATTGCATATACGAGGTCTGATCAAAAAGTATCAAGACAGGAGCTATAAAAAGAAAACTACAACACATATTAATTCGTCATATAATCTCCTACTAAGTAGTGTCCTTCTGAAACTATATATTTTATACAACGTCGTTTCTATTAATGGAAGAATTCCTGGAGCTCCATTTTTGGGGATAGCCATTAGCTGCCTTGTTGCATTCTCTTGGATTTCCTTTACGTCTCGAAATATTGTCCTTTTCAAGTCGGATTTGATTTCTGGAAAGCGGAAAAAGTCGCAAGGGACCATACCTGTGGAATATGATGGTTGCTGAACCTGCGAAATATTGCGCTTAAACAAAAACTGCTGCACAAGCCATGGTCAATGATAGAGCCTCTGTGGTGAGAAGACCATTTTCCTTCCAAGCAATGCTATAAACAACGGAAGTGAACAATAACGTTATAACTTAGTGCGCATGCGTGACAGAGTTTAAGGTCAATCTGCGTTAATCGGTTTAATACTGCGTACTTTAGCTCCGTGACAACAACAACAGTCCCGATACTTTTTGATCCGACCACGTATAACAGCCCTATTCTTTCAGTAATGTTTGCATCAATCTATGATAACTTCCTGATTTTCAAAGAAACCATTAGCTATGAATTTACATAGCACATAAAAATGGTCCATTTTTAATCGCAACGTTCGCATTAATTTCTGACGGCTGAATATAAATTTCTTTCTGATGTTTAATGCAATTCCATTTCCAAAATAATTTACAGGTTGGAATTGACAAAAGCTTTTACCGATCTTAAAAATGAAGATTATTAATTATCTCCCGTCTCTATTCTTCTGTCATCATATTTTTCTTTTTTCTTTTTTTACTCATTTTCTTCACCGATCAGGTCTGTCTGCTTACTGCCGTAGATTGATGGCCTGGGTGAATATGCGACAATAAAGCAACCAACAAGTTAAGATGAAAGTAAACTCTAGTCAAAATTAATGATAATTCCTGACCATATTGCGTCTAATAAAAATTAAATCTAATTGAGCTTAAATTATTAGAGAAAAATTAATATAAATGGTTAACATTGCTTCATCTAATGAAAAAAATTAAGATGAAAGCAAATCCTAGTCAGTAAATTAGTATGGTTAGTACTGTTTGAGCCAACTGACAATAAATTCATCACAATGTAATAATAATAATAATAATAATAATAATAATAATAATAATATGTGCAAAAGTAACATTCAAGAAAGGTAGAATTACAGAAACACCGTTAATAGATTTAGATTTTGTCACAAAGATTAGGGAACTGGAGCATGATGAAGCTTATAAGTACCTAGGAATTAGCGAAGGAGATGACATACAACACCCCCAAATGAAGGAAAAAATAGAAAAAGAGTACTACAGGCGTGTACGTCTGGTACTAAATACTGAGCTAAACTCAAAAACAGGATATCAGCCATAAACACATTGGCTGTCCCTGTGGTGCAATACAGCTTTAATGTCCTTAACTGGACCATAGCTGAAATTAAGCGAATGGACACCAAAACGAGAAAGCTTCTCACTTGCTATCGCATGCATCATCCCAAGGCTGATGTTGATCGTCTGTATGTGTCCAGATCCGAAGGAGGCAGAGGATTAGTTCAACTAGAACTGTCCTACAAAACTACAACAATTGGCCTCCAAAGATATTTGGAAACTACAGAAGACTGGATGATGGTATGCGTCAAGGAACATGAAAGTAGTAAGCGTCTTTACTGCGTAATGAAAGAAGCCAACACATTCAAAATGGAGTTTCAAATGGGCGTAGAGATGCAACTACAGCACAATACACCGACTGAAACTGCAAAATACCTAAAAAAGACAGCTAAGACGAATGCAACCGACCAGATACAGAAGCGATGGCAAGATAAACCACTTCATGGCCAATACTCTGCCCGTACCAAACAAACTGATGTAGACAAAACCCGTACCCATCAGTGGCTACGCAGTGCAGGGTTGAAAACGGAAACTGAAGGTTTTATCCTTGCTGCGCAGGACCAATGCTTGCTAACTAGGAATTATCAAGCACATATACTAAAATATTGTGTCAGCCCAAAATGCAGATTCTGTGATAAATATCCAGAAACGATTGATCATCTTGTATCAGGTTGCACGATGTTGGCATCCACTGAATATAAAACCCGACATGACAGAGTGGGCCAATATCTGCACTGGAAAAATCTGCAACTTCTACGGGAAGGAAACTGAAAGAAACTGGTATGAACACCACCCAGACCCGGTTACGAAGATAGGACCTGTTACAATTCTATGGGACTACCGGTTACACACTGACAGAACAATCAAGACCGACCGCCCAGATATTGTTATTAAAGACCACAAACAAAAACGGTGCCTCCTTATTGATATGGCAGTCCCTGCTGACTGCAATGTATCTTTGAAGATATTCAAAAAGTTGTCAAAGTACAAGGACCTTGAAATAGAAATCTCGAAAATGTGGCATATGGGAACATCAACAATCCCTGTTGTAGTTGGAGCCCTAGAACTGGTTGGAAAAGATTGCAGTAGACTAATTGAAGGGATTCCTGGAAGTCCATGCCTCAAGGAGATACAAAATATTTTTCTGACAAGTACAGCCCACACTTTACGAAGGGCTTTATCTATGTCATTTTTTTTTTTTTTTTGTCAGTGGAAAGTGTCATGAAGCCATTTCTAACCTTAGGTCTCTGGGCGGGACCCGGAAAGAAATGTGTAAACGCCAGAAATCAAATAAAATAAAAATGATAATAATAATAATAATAATAATAATAATAATAATAATAATAATAAATGTAGACCGTCTATACATACCCCGTAAAGAAGGTGGAAGAGGTCTTATTCAGCTAGAATTGTCATACAAGACAACAACTATTGGCTTACTAACTTACATGGAAACAACAAATGACTGGATGATAAAATTAGTGAAACAACATGAAAACAGAAAGAAAAAATATTCAATAATAAAAAGAAGGCAGTAAATACAAACAACATTTACATTTAGTAGATTCTTAGTAAATCAAAACAGAAGCCAAGAACCAACTATTGCAGCAAAAGATATGAAAAGAAAGCCAAGGATAAAGCCCTTGAACAGATGAAACAACGCTGGCAAGACAAACCTCTGCATGGCCAATATCCAGAACGTGCAAATAAACCCAATGTTGATAAAGTTAATACTCATCGATGGTTACGAGCATCTGGATTAAAGTCTGAAACTGAAGGCTTTATTCTTGCAGCGCAAGACCAGAATTTTTCTAGGAATTTTCAGGCAAATATCATACATAATAATGTGGATCCAAAATGCAGGTTCTGTGACAAATACCAAGAAACAATAGACCATCTAATCTCAGGATGTTCTATACTTTCCCCAAATGAATATAAAAATCGTCACGATAGAGTGGGGGCAATACTTACACTGGACAATGTGCAAACACTTTGGAAAATGTGTAAGCAAACACTACAGAACATCGGCCAGCGCCGGTTACAGAAATAGAAGATGTCACCATTCTATGGGATTATACCATCCACACAGACAGAAAAATTGAAGCAAATAGGCCGGACATTATTGTCAAAAACCAGAAAAAAAAACTTGCCTACTAATTGATATGGCTTGTCCAGCGGATTGTAACATAGCAACCAAGAATTTGAAAAACTATCAAAATACAAAGACCTGGAAATTGAAATAGAAAAAAATGTGAAATTGAAAACAAGAATAATACCAGTGGTAATAACTTGGAATTATAAAAAATGGAACAAAACAACACACTGAAAGAATCCCTGAAACCCCAGCTTAAGAGACATACAGAAAATTGTCTTAAAGTACAGCACACACACTAAGGAGAACTTTGTCTATGTAACGCTAGCAACTTCATCGGAGATAAAAAAAAAAAAAAAAAAAACATGTAATGTGGCCATAACAACACACCACGACCTGCCTTAGGTCTTTCCGCAGACTTGGCAGGTAGTGTGTCCATAGCAGAAATCGAATGATATTAATAATATTAATAATAATAATAATAATAATAATAAGCTACTTTTAAGGGAATAAAGATGCAAGATATTAATATGAACACTACCCAAACCCGGTTGCAGACAGGAACTGCAACAATTTTATGGGACTTTACAATACACACATACAGAACAATCAAAGCTAATCGCTCAGACATCGTTATCAAAGACCACAAAACAAGAATATGCATTTTATTGACATGGCAGTCCCTGCAGATTGTAATGTATTTTTGAAGATCTCCAAAACTCTATCAAAATAAAAGTGGTAATCTAAAAAATGTGGCACATGAGGACATCAGTGATTCCAGTTGTAGTTGGAGCACATGGCTTTCCTGATAGCCCATGGCTTCAAAAATACAAAAAAGCTACTCACAAGTATATCTCACAAATTACTTAGAGCTTTATCTATGTAAAAGGTGTGATCTCAGCGGTATTTTATTTTATTTATTATTATTATTTTTTTTTACAAAAATGATCAGAGGAAAATGTCATGAAGCCATTTTTTAGCTTGGGTTTCTGTTTGGGGCCCAGAAGGAGATGAGTATACAACAGAAAACAAAGGAATCAACAACAACAACAGTAATAATAATAATAATAATGATAATAATAATAATTACATATGATCCTGGAAAATTGCAGGAAATTTCAAAAGGTAGAAATCTCAGTACAGCTTGAATAGATAACCAAAAAGCCTTTGATAGCGTGCTACATTCTCCTCGGAGATAATAAATATAAAGAAATGAATCGCAATATTATTCATGTTTTATCAAACTGAAAAAGACCCATAGATTTAGTTAAATAATAAAGACGTAAAATGTTAATTTTTATCTCTTCTGGTCATCCATAGCAGAAAATGTGTAGGGGGTGCGTGTTATGTCTGAATAATTATGATGGTTAATTTGCTTGTGACAAGGACAGTGATTGGTTAACATGCCCTTTCTTAAGTGGTGCCTGAGAAAGTGAGTCGCCGTCTATCATTAATAGCATTCTTGACCAAGTTATTCGGGTGCGGAGAAATTAGGTTGTTTAGCAAAACATTTAATTGGACGAGAACAAAGGATTTTGAAGCATCTGCGGCTGTCGTCCCGCTAAAGTCAAACGGTCATAAGTTTTAAACGCTATCTCAAGTGCTGGATTAATGCGGTTCGTTAACAATCTGTCAAATATAACTTAAATCCAAGTCTTTGTCTTTCATATCACACTTATTCTTTAGAGCGTGACATTTCTAGCCTATCTTCTACGTAACGTGTCCCTTCAGGACGTGGGAAATCATATTTCTCCACAACTCTTAGCAATATTTGTCTTATTACTATGCTTTCCACTATCCGTTCTGTCATCTATTTACACAATCTTATACATGTACTGTGAGTGTCCCATTTACCAAGCCTTCCTTCCTCATTATGTTTCTGAGACATGTTAACTGTCTCTTTCTAAGTATAAGCGTTTTTTTTTTGTTTTTTTTGTGCTAACGTTTCCCTCAATACTTTCTCGTTAATCACATGCTGTGTCTATGGCATTCTCAGCATGTAGAACCACAAGTTTCTTCTTTATCAGTGAGGAAAATGTCCAACATTCACTGCTATATAAGAGGATTGAAATTACGTACTAGTTAAGGACTTTTCTGTTTCTTAATACTTTGCTTAGTTATTGGAAGGCATCTTTCGCTATCCCAATGCGTCTTCGGATTTCGGTGTCACATCTGTTTAAATTCTGTCCTATCCCGGAAGTAGGATTAATGTATCGAGTTCAAATTCTAACCGAAGCCGTTGCATTCGCTTTCGCACAAATACCCTTGGAAATGTATAAAACCGTCTGTTTTTTAGTGGTTAATAGTAGGAAAGACTGCGCATTTTAACCTTGGTTGCTTCATCCCTACTTGCTACAAATATCCCAGCAACAATACCTAGAATGATTTGGCTTTATACTCCACAGAATTGTCTACAGGACTAGCGTACAGATAGTGTAACTGATAGGCAAACAATAATGTCTGTCTAATCTCCCAGTGTTTACCGATGACATTCGATAAATTATACATTCCCCATGAAAAGAAAGAAAATTATTTTAGGATAAGAGGCTTTGGCTAAAATCCATTTTGTATTTGTAAATTCTACAATATTCACAATAAATAGTCTTTACAACGAGGAGTAATTATCGAAGAGTATTTGGGCATAAATATAACGAACCCAACGGGAATCGGAACTCGGCTCTCTGATTAACAATTTTGTGCCATTGACCATTACACCAACCGCACATCCACGTTTACAGCACTTGGTATTCCCAAGTGGTTACCAATTTAGGTACTGACAAAGCTCGACGTTGCTTAACTTCGGTGATCGCACGGGAATCAATGTTTCAACATGGTATGGCCGTAAATCGCTTTTCACATAAACGAATTTGAACACGATTCGCTGAGTCCCTTTTCCGTGTAAAAAATCGCACATCCAGATAAATAATATTTTCTTTCTTTTTCTTTCTTTCTGTCTTTCTTTCTTTCTTTCTTTCTTTCTTTCTTTCTGTCTTTTTTCTTTCTTTCTTGCTTTCTGTTTTTCTTGCTTTCTGTTTTTCTTGCTTGCTTTCTTTTACTTTCTTTCTTTTTCTTTCTTTCTTTCTTTCTTTCTTTTTCTTTCTTTCTTCCTTTCTTTCTTTCTTTCTTTTACTTTCTTTCTTTCTTTCTTTCTTTTACTTTCTTTCTTTCTTTCTTTTACTTTCTTTCTTTCTTTCTTTCTTTCTTTCTTTTACTTTCTTTCTTTCTTTCTTTTACTTTCTTTTTTCTTTCTTTCTTTCTTTCTGTCTTTTTTCTTTCTTTCTTGCTTTCTGTTTTTCTTGCTTGCATTCTTTTACTTTCTTTCTTTTTCTTTCTTTCTTTCTTTCTTTCTTTTACTTTCTTTCTTTCTTTCTTTTACTTTCTTTCTTTCTTTCTTTCTTTCTTTTTTTTTTTCTTTCTTTTTCTGTTTTCTTGCTCGCATTCTTTTTACTTTCTTTCTTTTTCTTTCTTTCTTTCTTTCTTTCTTTCTTTTTCTTTCTTTCTGTCTTTCTTTCTTTCTTTCTTTCTGTCTTTTTTCTTTCTTTCTTGCTTTCTGTTTTTCTTGCTTTCTGTTTTTCTTGCTTGCTTTCTTTTACTTTCTTTCTTTTTCTTTCTTTCTTTCTTTCTTTCTTTCTTTTACTTTCTTTCTTTCTTTCTTTTTCTTTCTTTCTTTCTTTCTTTCTTTTACTTTCTTTCTTTCTTTCTTTTACTTTCTTTCTTTTTTCTTTCTGTCTTTTTCTTTCTTTCTTTCTGTTTTTCTTGCTCGCATTCTTTTACTTTCTTTCTTTTTCTTTCTTTCTTTCTTTCTTTTACTTTCTTTCTTTCATCCTTTTTCATTCTTTCTTTCTGTCTTTTTTCTTTCTTTCTTGCTTTCTGTTTTTCTTGCTTTCTGTTTTTCTTGCTTGCTTTCTTTTACTTTCTTTCTCTTTCTTTCTTTCTTTCTTTCTTTTACTTTCTTTCTTTCTTTCTTTTACTTTCTTTCTTTCTTTCTTTAAGCTATCAATGTCCTAAAACTGTTCTTGGCATATACTGAAATCTCCTGTGTCTTTATTTTTTCCGGGCCATATTCCCGACGCGGAAACATTGTTTCATTTAGTATTTCAGCACTATTTCTGAAAAACAACTTTGGCTTGTGTTAATAAGTACAATGTTCCCAAACATTTAGTAGTGAAGTGTTAGCAGTCAAAACATCGTAACAGTAGTTCTAGTAGTTTTTAGGCTAACAATTTCACAGAAATCGAACAGAAATTGATACTGGGTCAAGGCTGCAGTTTGTTTTCATCAACGAGTTCACTATTATCGTATCAACGATTAAGACATTAGTTTATCAACATGTTTACTGCTGTTTTATTTTATCAATTTGTTCTTTATTATTTTGTCAATGAGTTTGGCATTATTTCTTTTCGTCCATTGAGAGCGTTTTGTATAAATCCCATGACGCGGGAAAGAAGGGTCGACTAGAAGGAACACAGAGAGGGAGAGGGAGAGAAAGAGAGAAATGTAAAGCGAGTGAGGGAGTGCGATTAAAGGCAAATGTTTCTCGTTTTTCCTTCTGCTTTACACTCTCTACTTTCTCGCTCTTTCTCAAGTTCTGTGACCTGTATTCGAATCAAATCACTGAGAGAATGTCGGAGATTGCAAGTTTCTTTCTCTTCTTAAATATGTTTGTTTTTAGGTCGAGGTCAAACCTGCTCAAAGATGGTGTCTTAAAAAAAAAGAAAAGTTGTAGCAGTACAAAACCAACTGATAATTACAACATTTTAGGTACAATTAGATATAGCTCAGTAGTTAATGTATTGAAAAACAAAAAACGTGATTTATTTTTCTAACCCTCGTCTCTGGACGGTGACCAACCTTATTACACTTTCAATGTTATATAAAAATTAAAACAGGATAAATCTCACGATGATATTTAAAACTACCATAAGAGAGAAAAAGAGAAAGAAAAAAAATAACTTTTAATAGGAGTAGAGAGATTTATCCATCGTCCGGTTCACACTCCTCCTCAGTCTTTTAAACTCGAATAGAAGTATATACCTTGTTTCCTGTTTAGGATTGTGTTTCCGTCTCTTTGTAAATTCTACTTCAACTCTCAACTTCTAACGTCTCCACCTAAACACTGAAATTTATATTATTATTGGGCTTCTGGTTCCTTCTAAAACAGTGCTTCCCAATCGATTTGGGGCCATGCCCCGCCTTGGTATTTTTAAAATTCTGGTATTTAATTCTTATATATTCAAAATTTTACTGTAATTCATGTGAAGGCCATTAAATTGGTCTCTAAACAAGCCTCTAAAGTCCATGACGTTCATGAAAGAGAAAAATTTAAAAAAAAACAACAACAAGACAGTTAAATATATATTGTTTCAAAACATATAATAGAGAATTGAAAGGCCGAAATATAAAATATTTGAATGAAAACTTATTCTGTAATATACTTTGATTATTTTAATCATGAAATAATAATGTAAAATGAAATTTAAGTTCATGCTGATATAGTAAGCCGAGGGTGCACATCCTACGCATACCCCACCCAAATATTACCATGCCCCATTGGTGGGGACCCAACGTTGGGAAATTTTGTTCTCAAGTCTTGTCCTTATCTTTCACTTTCTTTGTACCTTATGGCAGTATCACCTTGCTTGGGGTGAATTGAATTTTTTTAAAAAAACTTGCAAATAGTATCAAAGCATACAAGTGAAGAAAGAAAGGACTCCATTTTTATTTTTGGTGTCAGGTTGGTGACACTCGTTATTATAAACTTATAAATGAAAGAATAAATTGATTTCAGTTGTCTGTTTATCATATCTTTTTTCTAAAATCACTGAATATAGGTTTTTCATTGGACATAGCGTAGATAAGTTGGATTCATAGCTTTTCCAAAGATAGATGTCAGTAGGTTTGATTCGAACTAGAGCACATTTTGCCAACTTCATTTTTCAACCAATTGCATCCAAGAGTGTATCCACTCCCACCTCAAATTAATATCATTTTTTTTATTCACAATTGAATTAACGCGATCAACGGAAAATATTAAAATCAATAACGAAAAAGCAGCTCTGCAATATGCAGCAAACGTTTCAAATACGATTTCCAATTTATACTCAATGTTAAAGTCCCCCAGGACTTTAACGTTGGAACTACGTTGTTTCTTATCTTCATCACCGACAACCCACCCCACACCCGATGCCATCAGTCCCCGACTATGTATTTATACTGATAACACAGCCATTTACTCCTGCCTTAATAGTAAGTCCGATTGGTCAGTTGAAGTAAAACTGGCAGCTACTCTAGAAAATCATCTCCAATTATTTTTTTTTTATCTGGGGCAAGAATTGGCTTGTAAATATTAACACCTTCAAAACGAAACTGGTATCTTTTAATCATCATAGATGCTAACCTCCAGGAAGCAATTCGTTGCACCTTCTTGGTTTCACGTTTTCCACTAACATGAAGTGGAGTGATTGTATTGAATCAATTGCTGAGTCTGTTGCTAAGTAAGTAGGTTCACTGTGTCTTGCCAGAGAATTTTCTTGTCAGAATCCATCTTGCACATTTATAAATCTAACATACATCTGTGCATTGAATATTGCTGCCATATCTGGTCTGATGCTCCTGCTCAAGATTCTCAACAAAATCCAAAGAAGGGTCTGTAATGTTATTGGTCCTGACTTGGAATTTCGACTAAAGTCATTTTTCCACCGCAATGACCTGGCTTCCCTCTGTCTTTTCTATAAATATTTTCATAATAATAATCCTGAGTTTTCCTCCTTGGTACCCCGACGGCATTAATTTAAGCGTACTACTTGATTGACAAATAGATCTCAACGTGTTACTATTGAGACAGCTAAATGCAACCGTGAGTTCTATTTTGATATTTTCTTTTCTCACACTTCTCGCCTGTGAAACACTCTTCTGGTTTCTTACCTCCCTGCCATTTACGATCTACAAAAACTTAAATGCAACATCAATCACCATCTTCTGTGTTCATGAATTCTGTACTTTTATTGTCTTTTCTCTACACTAAAGTTTTCTCATTCTCTTTCAATCTCAATAATCACTGGCGTCTTTAGCGCTCAAAATGGAAATTTCAGATCTTTTCCTGATTCTTGTTACAAGATACTTCGAGGTGTTTTTAGCTACTTTTAATAATCATTTCTTTAGGAAACGACGAAAGAATTTTAAAGAAAAAGCAAAGTTTGTATAACGTTTCATGAAGGATATATTTTTTCTCTATGAATATAGGAACCATATTCGATGTCACATGGACTGTCTTTCCAATATCATTATTTTGATTATAACGTCTTAGCGAGCGTCTTATACAAGCGCAGAAACAAATGAAGGCAGTCTTATATGTAGAGAAAAATGTCGACCAGACTGTTGATCGTCGCTTCAAATGTTTTTAGTTCAGTATCCAATTTTAGCGCCAAAATAAGTTCAAATTGCAATCCATACTGAAGCCGAAGGAGGCAGACGGAGAGAAATTAGCCGAATTTCAGAATTTGGAAGGGAGGGTTGATCGAGATAGGAACAATGTCTGACTACTTTATGGTCAGCGTTGGGTTGATAACAGCGCTTTATGGAGAGACATAATTTTATCATTTGGGCGCCGGATTCGGACATAAATTGTCCTCAAATTCTGAAAACAATTTCCTGAAGACGACGATAACGACATCGAAGAGGACGAATAAATTTACTTTGCTGATAATCTTTGGCGCTAACAGCAGTGAATCAGAATTAAATATGTTTCGTGTCTGTGAGAATAATTTTTTAAAAATGCAGTTCTTTGGGTATTGATTTAAATTCATCGTTACATATTCCTTAGTTTGGACCCCATAAATATAATCTACTTTTGGTCATCCTGTCCAAAATATGGCGACGCGCCTAGCAGAAAAATAGTTCATATTTACTTCTGGAATGCTTTAGGAAGTGCAAAGGTTTTAGAAATTCTATTCTTTACAGTATACAACTAGTTTTCAGTTAACTACCAATCATAAATACACTTTTAACTGATTGCCCTATTCTTTGATTTGTATAGAACATTACTTTTATTGTTATGAGATGAAGTAATGTCAACTATTAATATTAATTTTTGGCTAGTATTTAATTTAATCTTGGATGAAGCATTGTCAACTATTGTTATTAATTCTTGATTAGTATTTACTTTCATATTAATTTTTATTACATCAAATATTGTCATCCAAAGCTATTTTATTAATTTTTCACTTTTAATTGCTTTTATTTTTATTTTTTGTTAGCAGATTCATTGTCAACCATTATTATCTTTTTTTTTACTAATATTTTGTTTCATTTTTATTTTTATTAGATCAAACATCATCAAGCATCATCATTAATTTGTGATTGATATTTACGTTTCATTTTTTTATTAGGTGAAGTATTGTCATCCCTTATTATTAAATTTTGACAAGAATTTCCATTTATTTATTATTAGATGCTGCTTTATCAACCATTATGATTAATTTGACAACGCAGAATCAGAAACAACGGTTAAGATTCGATCAGACCACTATTTTGACTCAGGGAAGCAAAACAATTATGGCGTCAGTAGCTTACAGAAATGAATGATAAGTTATCTATTCACTGGTGTAGTTTGATAGCCACAGTAAACATAGTGATAAAAGGCAACGAAAAAATAAGATTAAATACTAGACAAAATTATTAACAATAATGTTTTCATAGAACATCTTTTTATAATATTTATAGGTCTATAGACAGGGAGATGCTAATGGTCATGGTAATATTTAATATTAGCTGTTTCCTTGTAAGGAAACATTTTGGCATTCATTGACCGAGCATCCAGTGTTATTGTCGGTTGAAACTAATGAAATATATCTATTAATATATTTTTTTTTAGGAAAATAGTTTTCTCAAGTCAACTAATTGTTATCTCTCTTTCCAGTATTGATGAGGCTTCCTAAGTTTATGTTTGAAGTATTATGGAATATTAGCATGTTGATCATATCATTGTTTTCTC